TCGAACGGAGTATCGATGTACTCAGTTTCTACAAAATTTGGTTCCAATTCACATCACGATTAAAATATTCGTTAATAGTTGATCGATCAGATATTGATTCGTGTTAAATCGGACCGAACCAATATTATTACAAGTACAACTCGATAGAATATAATATATCGAGCGCAATATTTTACCCAACGCTGATTATCGTACGAGTATAGCGCGGATTTCAGTTGTCAAAAAAGGGTATTGATATAGTATTATTATTTTTTCTGTATAATAATTTGGACATTCGGTTCGACTGGTCGTTTTTGTACGACACAACCACATGTGTCTGAACGATAAATGGCAATCATAACATTGCAGTTTACGGTAGGTACTCGAGGGATCCGATTTCCATAAGAAAAAACTCTTCGGCTTCTCGTCCCCGTTCACATCGTCTGCGTCGACACGCAGTGTGGATATGTAATTTATCTAATCGGGGTGCAGTTTGGATATAGTGTTCTAATATATGGGTATAATAGGTACTGTCTGTATATTTATCGTACACGCGTTTAGGTTTGGTGCCACCGTGTCTGGCCAGACTGCAGAATCTAGTATTATGCATGTGTGTATGCATACTGTACAATATTATATTTGTAAATGTGCACACAAACGCACATAGGTACATAGGTACAAAGGTTTACCGTTTGGGCGTTTCACCGTAACCATGCGATAACCATTAAAACGATTACCACACTCGTATACCTATCAACATCACGTAAATAATAATATGCGAAAGGCGATGTTTTAATAACCTTATATTCTCTTTCAGGCAAAACACCCTTCCGATTCACACCACAAGCCACTTAAAAAGGGCGTAATACACGAAACACTACCCTCCCTACCGACAGTATTCAAATAATATAGTATAGGTATAGTATAGGTACTCGTAAGTTACCGTGTGTTTTAAAATATTATCAATCAAAATCAATAATTCACATTCTCCATGAAAAAATAGTAGATATGTAGTAAATATAATACACCAGTAGCGTACCCAGGGAGCTAAAGGTTTTATCCACCTCCACCCATTAGCCATCTTCAATACAAAAAAAAAAAACGTATAAACGATTTAGTATTGAAAAATGATCTAAAATCAAATTCGATTTATGTTGGCTATTTTTTATGTAGCTTTTGGTATTTTTGGAACGAAAATTGAACTTTTTTTTATGATTTATGGGTTACCTTGGCGACGAAAAAACAGTTACTAATATTTAATTTGGTTGTCATGGACAAGGAAATTAAATTACCCAGCAACAACTGGTAACTGTAATAGTGATAAAGGTGAGCCAGGAAAATACCGGGTAGTTCAGCTAGTTACTAGGTAATAAGGTAATCATCGTTACACATTTTCACTAATTATTCAACCAAGTACAAATAATTGTACTATGCAACTATCATATATTCTGCAACAATTTTTTTTGTTTAGTTAATCGTTTTTAGTTTAACCCACCCTCACATTCAAAAATCTTGGATACACCACTAGGAATGTTTACCTTAAAATTTAAATTTAAATAAATATATTGTAACTATACATATACAATATAGTATGATATTGGTTTACAATTTGAAATTAAGTCCCAAGGAATAGGAAAGGGTTATTCAATATTTATTTATGGATACACATAATTAATTTTAACTATAAAATATTAAAACACTATTTTTTCTCAACGGAATTTCAAAATATTGATTATTGCTAAAAAAATACCAAAAGTCGATAAGTATATGTTTATAATCATGTTTATATAAGTACCTATACGCGCGCGCAGAGTAAAAGTAAAATGTTGAAAATGTTATAAAAAAGATTGTTAAACAATTAATATCTGAAAAAAAATCAATCTCCATAGTTAATCACTAATTTATTTTGAAAAAAAAAAACTGTTATTTGAACTTTACAAGTAGGAACATCTTCCATAAAATTTGATCAGAAACGTCACTCCTGAACCGACTTCATAAATCTGAACCTGGACCGTTGAACCGAAAAACACGAGTGGTGACCGCGGTAACATTGATTTTTCTTATTATTCATAGGTATTATTATTATATTAATACATTAATGTTGATTAAGTTAATTCAATTTATTAATTAATTTAGCGTTAAAAAAATGTTACGATTACAATTATGTTAAGATTAATAGTACCTACCATATTATAATATTGTGAACAGTGTTTTTTTTTCTCGAATTTTTCCTTAAAATAGAGACCATATTGTCTTGCATTGTATATTGTGCCTGTTGAATAGGTACATACAATTTCTCCCGCTACTTTGGTACATTTCTAGCCGCTCCCTTTGGACCAAATGAACTCAAACTCGAGAATTAGACTTTTTTTTGTATAGGCGGATTAAACACGTGATACGAATTGAGTTGAATTTCGATATGAATTTAAAAACATCATATTGTTGCGGATGAAGAGTGTTAATTTTAATTTTAAACACCTTTAAAGACTCCTAAATTTAAGCAAGAGGAATAAAATTGTATAAATGCATGACGGGCGTTAATATCCAACTGTCTTTTGGGCGTTTTGACAATTTTTTTTTTCAATTACAATATTGCACTGCTATTATAGTATTCGGTTATTTACCTATTTGTTTTGCGAAAAATATCTCCATCCAAAAAAATAAGCAGGGGGGAGGAATTTGACTATATAGTGACGGAGTTCTGCTGCTCCCGGGTGGGGTTTTTTTTTTTATATCGCGGCAGTCTCTTTTTTTGCGGTTTCTCATCCGTATTCCCCGTCTTTTCCCGTATACAATAATACATATTGGTACACACACACACACATATATATATATAAACTTCTTCTCTCCACACGTCATCGTATTGGCGTGCGTGTGTGAATGAGTCTCCGCGTCTCTCTTTCACTCTCTCTGCCGTCGCAAAAACCTTTTCACGTCGCACCGGCCGGAACCTCGAGTGCCCTGCCCCGGTTTCACCACCACCCTCGTACGCTACCGACCAAAAACACACACATACACACACAACGAATCTATACAGTCGTCGTGTAGTCATCCACTCGACACACACACACACACACACAGATCGGAAAAAATAACATTGCGTCCGACCCGCACAAAGCGTGTACAACGGCGCAGATGTGCTCGCCGGATAAACCAAACGCGGGGGCGTCCGATCAATTTTCTCTCCCTCTTCCTCCCCACACTCGTATATATGTATATAAATATATATATATTTATATATCGGTCACGGACATATTCCATTGTCATGTATGTAAAATTATACAATATAATATAATATAGTATACGGGAGAGATTAAGCGGTCCGGCGGGCCGCGTGGACGGACTTTGAAAATAGGCCATTTCTATAAACATTTTATGAACTACAAAACATTTTCAACGAACATTTTATACACCTACATTGATGATGACACAAAGGGCCCGATTACGTGCCAGCTAAATAAACATTCTGGAACACTATGCAGCCGTATAGAATAATTATATGATCTTTACAAAACCGGAATCAAATCAAGAAGCCGGAGACGACTTTATTGTCCCGATATGATTTTAATTGCCGCGAATCACAAAACTGCGGATTACAGGCGGCAACCCGCGCACGAATCATTTGATTCCACATCAACGACGTACGGCAACCGTTTTTTTAACAGTATTTTCCTCCCGAAAGTTCGGATAAATGAGTATACACCGTTCACATCAGAAAAACGAATTCCGACAAATCGCTGCACGAAATTTGAGAAAGAGTATAATCGTAAGGTTTAATAGAACCATAGGCGGACAGTTTGTCGAATAGACTTAAGATAATAGACATATTGATAAGTATTCATAAAACATAATTTAAGATATTAAGATAAGATATTATTCTAGTTCATGGAATCACACAATACATTAGTGATTAGTCTGATTTAATTTTCGTGTAGGTATATCGAATCAAAACAATACTAACTTGAAAATCAGTATCGTATCTATAATCTACCAACTTAACGTTAACAGTTAACTATTGAATTTGTGAAATTATTGATTTTGATCTAAATTTATTTATTTCTTAACCGAATTATCATTATGAGTAATAAGAGTAGCATATTTTTTCTAACTTTACTAATGCTTTACAGTTATTTGTAACAATACCTGTTACAAGTTGCAGTTGTGAACGCTGCTTCTCAAAAATAAACTTCGAACAACAATGACCCAAACAAGATTGGATTCACCGATGTTGTTATTTGTTAAACAACATAAAACAAATAATGTGAATATTGACGAGGTCATCGAAGAGTTTTAAATAATAAATGACACAAAACGTCGAATGGAGTTATAACTGATAATTATGTCATTAATTATTACAATCAACTGTTTATAAAAATAAAATAAAATTTAAAATTCCAAGTAGGAAAATTTAATGAAATATATGTATGTGTGTGTGCGTGTGTGTGTGTGTGTACTGTGTATAGAACACTCAAGAAACAAATAAATAGCTCTACAATTTTAGATCTATGTTATTTTTCATCACCCTTATTTTTGGAGGTAAAACCACTACCCACTTTAAATTTTCAAATAGCACCAATATTAATGAATTTAATATGTTTATATAGGTTACCGTCTAAAAATCAAAAGTAATTAGTGGCTTTATCCCCCAAGAATAAAGGTGAAAAAAAATAACATAAATGTAAAATCCGTGAAACCGTTTGAATGTTCTACGAAACAAATAATTCGAAAAAAGTTAATACTTTCCGAGATAATGAATGCACCAACTTAAACAGAACACCCTGTATTAATTACAGTGGTGATTGCAACAGCGTTTGTGATTCTACTAAGAATGCGAAAAAAAAAAAAAAAAGAATAAAGGTTTAGAAAAAAGAAAAAATGAAAATCGCACATAACGCGATATACGAAATAAGAAAAAAAAATAGTCAACAGAAATATCAATTAAACACAAAATACAAATAATAAATATAACCGGAAAACTTAATATGACTGCGTCACCGACGCAGGTTCTCGCCCGAGTATTTATGAGATTTGCGATTTCCCGCACGGAAAACGACAACGTGACCTCGGAGACGAGGCCTGCGGACGACGCTCATGAACGTCTTGTTTGCGGCCGTCATCAAGCTTTCGAACATTTTGCTGTCCACGGACGAATTACCAGCCGTGACTGCGTACACTACTTCGGGGACACAACGCTCGACATTCCCGGCTGTTTTGAAGTGTTTTCCGATCGAGCACGAGGAACGCGTGGTTTAGAGACGCACGTCCGTCTGGTTTTTGCGGTCTGCGACGACGTCGTCGGTCAACATTGTTCGCAGAAGTCGGAGTGCTCGGCTCGCGGCGATCAATCGAGGGATCCGATTTGGGATCTCGCCGTAACTTCACTAGCCTGCCACGAGATTCCAATTGGGATCTCGGTTGGTATTTATTTTTAAAAAAAATGAGATCTCTACAAGAATCTCTTTTATTAGGATTTTTCAAGAACAGTTAAATTGTACAGTGTAACCACTACACGCCGGTCCGTTTGCATCTAAATGACTACCCGCCTAGGAGCAAGGTCGCCAACCTAGGACCGAGGTCCGAAGACCGGAGTCCTACGATTTTTGTGAGGAGGGAAGGGAAAAAATGAGAATTTAAATAAATAAACACGTGTTTTCTTGGGGGAAAAATATAGAATTATTTTATTAACTCATCGATCAAAAAGTGAAAATTAAGTTAATGCAACAGCAAAGCACAGGGGCATAAAAACTGTCACTTGAGAAAGAATGGATAATAGGTACGATTTTGACATTGATATATATAGGATTATAAAACAAATGTCTACAGACAATTTATATTTTAAATACCTGTACATTAACTTGGGGGGGGTCAACCAGTCTTAAAAGTGTTGTCCGGACGCAGGTAGTGACATAACGGGGAACGTGCGGGCCGGGGACTTATTAACATTTATCGGTAAGGATGAAACCGACGTCCACGTGTGTGCGCTGACCGATATGGGTATTGACCGAGACGGACCACCACGTGGGACTTTCGTGGGCACCTCGGGCAACGGGGAGACCCCGGCAAGAATGTGCGGTTGCCAGGCCGCACAAATTACCACCGGGAAGGGTGGCGGAAACGATTTTCGTTCCATGTTGACTGGTCCGTAGTTTTGGTGGCCCTACGGGTGAACCTGCGGAGCGCGTCCGAATATGGATCGCGAAATGGGAATGATCGATCATTATATATATATTTATTATTTTTAGAGACGCTCACACACGTGGTTGCGAAACCTAGCACTCAAAGGGAATAAAAACTAAAAAAAAAACAAAATGCGGGGGCCTATCGCACATAGGGTGTGGAACGCGGGGATTGGTATAATGAGACGGACACATAAATCTAGCTGGTTGATCCCCATAAGTATATCGGAAGGATTTAACACAAAAAGAAAACATTTATACAAACATATTCATACGGAGGAACCTTAATTAAAATTACCTTAAAAACTAATTAACTAACTGACGGGGTATCGGCCAATTATTAAATCGCATAAACATTACCATTCGTTCCGCCCGAAGGTGTCCGCCCAGCGCACCAGATCGGGACTCACTTCATTGGTTCGTTTGAGGCACCATCATGAAACGCGCCAAGGTACACGACCTTTTCTTGACGGCGAAATATGTGAATCCGTGCAATACGCGCGAGTGTTTTGTTAAGAAAACTGTATCGAAAGACCGTCCGGTGACAGTATCGAGACGAGGTGTAAACACGACGAAAAAAAGAAACGAAAAAGAAGACGAAAACTAGGTAGCGGAGCGCGGAGACGTTCGTGGCACACGTCGCCGCGGGCCGACGTTTTTGGCGATAAGGGGAAACGTGATCTGATTGGCCGTTAACCCGTAGTCAGAAAAACAATATTATTGTGAATTGCAAATGATTGCGATCGCATAAACCTTTGCGCGGGAGGGGGGGGAGGAATTATTGCTCATGATGACATAACATATCCGTCGACGCGGGCGTAATCTATTAACCGGTCGACCATATCGATTGTAGGTACGCTTGTCCTTTGATAACGGGAAATGGTCGTTTTTGGACGTAACAAACTGAAGTACCTAAATAGTTGTTTTATGCGTTAAAATAATGAATGATGCAAAAATATAGACTTAATTCACTAAATAATATATTATAATAATATTTTGTAGGTTAAGAAATTGGTAGGTAGTTGGTGTGGACAGCGCCGGGACGAGCGGGGCACATGCCCCGGGCCCTGTGCTTTCAGGGCCCCGCTTGAAATTATTGTTGAAAATGAAATAATTATATTTAAAAACCTTTTGTAGAGTTCCATACGCGATTTTATTATCGAGTATAGTATACTCTATAGATGTATAGTATCTTGATGTCAGTGGTCGGTCTCCGAAATATTAAAATACATTGTAGATGATATAGATGTATAGGAATATAACTCGATTTTTTTTCAATTTGTAACATGACTATATTAAACAACCTTTTCTGTCCAATAGTTGTTCTATGGTGAATTTAAACCTTTCATAATCAGGATAAAATTCATTCATATTTTTTTGTTTCATATAATCTAATTATTAGATTATATGAAACAAGAACATATTAGATTCTAATATGTTTTTAAACACACTATTATTTGAGTTAGTTTCTTTGCATTTGAACATTATGTTAAACATTTTTAGTTTTAGTTGAAGTTCAAAATCATCAAACTTATAGATCTTACGATGCCCAATAACTTTTCACCAAGATTTTCATTTATAAATTCATTCAATATATTGTTCACTAGTTCATTTTCCTGAACCAATCTTATTTTTGTCAAAAATAATATCCACTACTGAAAAATAAATATTCGCTCAGTGCTTAATGATCTTTAACCAATAATATTACCATCTCTTATCGCTGTTATTATTTTATTAATAGTTTGGCACTATTAAAACATTCTAAATATAGATAATTTAGGAGGTATATTGCAAATGGTAGTATTGCAACACCAGAAAAATGTCTGGGTGGCAAATGTTCTCTTTCGAACCACTGAGATTACACCAATAAATAGGCTTGAGGAATAGAGAGAATAGAGGGTAGCAATTGAAGAAAAGTGACTAAGTATAAGTAAAACAGAGGTGGTTGAATGCTTTAAAACAAGGGTAGACAATAAGCATCCTGCGAAGAGAAAATAAACGGACCACCAAAATCTTTTACTTTTATGCTGGTTTTTTGTTTTCATTATTTGTCTCTGTGTAGATCCAGAATATCGTAGTGTCCGAATATAATCTATATTTATGATATGTTTGGTTTATTTGTATATTATTATAAAATTATAAATATATATATATATATATATATTTTATTCTATAAAATAATTAAATAATACTAAATAATAATCATGTTTTTAATACAAAAATAAATTTAAATTCTGAGTGTGTTAAATAAGAGAGAAAACCATAAAGTTAGAGGTTGAATTTTTTTTTTTGCTCAACTTCAAAAATATATGGCTCACAAATTTTTTTTTTCAAATAATCCCCCTTAGAACTTAATTGCTGAAAGAAAGAATGCGAAGACAATGTGGGGATTAGGTAAATTGAAAGTTTAGAAAGAAGGTGGCTGACCACAAATAGTTGGGATGAAGACGAAGAAGAAGAACTGTTAGTTCTATAATTTGTTTACTTAATTTTAAGTTATACATTTCGTGAATTTTTCAGTGAAGAAAATATTACAAACTACTATACTAAAGGACAATTTTTTATTTTAGATAATTAATTTGTAATTATCCTATATATATATTGTATATTTATATTAGTATTATAAAATTATAAAACAGTATCAAACATAAGATTTTTATGTAAACACATTACATATCATATATTTTGTCATAAATATAATATACATACGTTGTATCATGTATACATATATTTTGTTTATAAAATAACATAACAAGTATAATTATTTATACTACCTCAGCCTTTTTTGGATATTGAGCAAATTAATAATTTTTATAAAACTAATAATTCTATTTCAAAGTTTTTTTTTTTTTTTTTTTTTAATATATTAAATTGAACACAAACCATTGGTTCAGTTTAATTTCTTTGTTTGCGGAGCCCTTATGTCGGTAAAAAGTATCTAGGGAGCATTAATAATCAGAATGCCAATTTATTTGTATATTTTGTAAAACTATTAATTATTCAATAGTTCAATCAACTAACTCTAATTATTATTTTAACAAAGTAAGGCTAAGAAATGTATTCAGCTCAATTTCATTAAAAAAAAAAGGTAGAGTTTTGTCATTTGCCATGAAAATGTTGGTAATTTTGTATTGTACTAATACATTAATAGTAAATATATATATTTACCAAATAAACAAATTTTATAATTTAGCCTTGTTTCTAATAAACCGAGTGATCCGCGAATAAAACAAATTTAATGATGTATTGATATATGCCACTTTCCTAAAGTTCTATAGCACTGTGGAACAAAGTTTGAGAATCACAGCTTTATAGAAATATGGTTTTAAATTTTCAGTCGGGCCATAAAAATATAAACAATTCTAAGAAAATTGTAGCTTTATGCTTTACTCAAAATTATTTTTTGGGTGCAATTATTTATTGTTTAATTCAATTAAAACTACCCCTGTATTCCACTTTCTACATTAAATTATGAACTTTTTTAATTAAAAACCACCACTAACTGCAATTGAAGTACCAGTAATGTATGAACTCTTTTCAGATGCTAAAAATGTTACGACCTCAGCAATTTCTGCAAATAAAAATAAAACATTAAATTAAACAGTGTGCAACTAATTATATAAACAGTAAATCATTTCTACGAAAATTATATTTATTAAAAATAATTACTTTAAGAACTAGATATTATTTTGTGTTTACTCAGATGTAGAACTGTATAAATATAGATAAAAGTAGGATTTTATAAAAACTTCGTTAAACTTCTAAAACCTATTATACAGTGATTTTTCTTTATGATGAAACAGCAATTATCTCAGAGAATTTTAAGTGAATTTGATTACTATTTTTTTAATCATTGTGGAATAGTTTAGGTTTTATTTTAAAATCATTTTAACTTTTTATCCCTACTACATATACCTTACATACTTTTGTACTTCAAATCACAATGATTAAAAATAAGCAGAAATCAAATTCACTTAAAATTATCCTGAGAGAAAATTGCAGGTGCATGGTAAAAAAAATCCCCTGTATTATTTAATTTAACAGTTTATAAGATACAGTACATAATTTGTAAACAGTTACAGTAAAATCTGAAGTGTCTAACTTTTAGTGAAGACTGGGCTACATTATGTAAGGTAGAAATTGTTAAATATATCAATAAACAAATAAATAATGAATGAATGCATTCAGTTTTACTTTTTTACTTTGTGATTTTATACTTCAGGCAACACATTCATTATTTATTTATTTTTTAGTAATAACCCATAAATTTACATTGGTGTGACCGTTTAAGGGAAGTTTTAATGTATTATAATTAAAATAAATTATATTTTTTTTTTTTTTAAGAGCACAATTTTGTAATTTTTAAGATACAATCTTGCCGTAAATATTTAATAGGTTTTTATAGTATATATCTATCTGCACTACTAAGTAATAAATAATAATATATTAATACTTTAAAGTTAAAAGTACATAAGTTGTTTTATTTATTCAAAACATACAAATACTATTGGTGTATGTACATGCGAGTGTAAAAGACAATAGTCAACCATGACTATATTAAAGTATAATATTAACTGAATTTTTTTTTCAATATGAAGACAAAATTGATTTATAAAAAAACAGTAAAACCAATAAATTACTACAAACCTCCCAAATCTAAAAATTAACTTAAATTCTTAAAATGAAAATTTAATTTTTTGATTTTACGTTAATTAATATAAGTTAACAGAAACCCAAAATTAACAATTTAAATTAAATTAAATTAAATTTTCAACTCGTTGATGTCTTGAAAATAAGTACAAAATGTTAGTTTATGTAATTTATATACATAAATTATAGGTACCTAGCTCAATAAAATACTGTTAATTATTAATTATTATGCTTATTATTTATCTTAATTTTTTTAATGTACCCAGATTATTAAATACATTTTCAATAAGTTGTGAATAAAGAACCTCCAAAAAAATTGTATCCACACACCTCAAGAATTATAATTCTGCTACTAAACATTCTTGTTTTATTTCCTAGATGCAATATACATATATTACCAACCTAATTCATACATATAGGCTGTCCCATGAAGATATACCCCTTGAATATCTCCGGATAATTAAGATAATAAAATTATGTTTTTTATATTACTCACAGGGATGAGGACTTCAAATACTTATATTTGAACTAATTTTTTTTTTTTTAATAACTTTATTTTATTATTTTTGAAAAATGTATAAATATTTTTAGTCCTTATCCCTATGAGTAATATGAAAAAAAACCAGAATTTGATTATCTTTATTATCTCCGGAGATATTCAAGGGGTATATCACCTTCATGGGAAAGTCTGTATACTTTTTTTCAAGCAATATATTAATACATATCTCAAGTTCAATAATAATTATTACCATCAGATTCCGCAAATCTATTCAAGGGTATGACAGATTTGAAATATTCTTTTACTTTGTCAGGAATAATTTCAGTCATTGGGGTGACCGTAAAACCAGGCAACACAGTATTACATCTAATGTTGTATCTAATAGAAAAAAAATACAGTTAAAATAAAAACATATAAAATTTGTATATATTATTTAGGATAGATATTCAACAAACCGTGCCATTTCTAATGATACTGTCTTACTGAATACTTCGACTGCTGCCTTACTAGCTGCATAATTACACTGTCCTTTGTTACCACGTTGAGCAACTATACTTCCTATGTTCACTATGGAACCAGATAAATTTTTCTCCACCAGTTCCTTACAAATTGTTTGTGTAACTAGGAAAGTTCCCTTTTAATAAATGTATTGATTTTATTTCTACATTAACTACAAACATTGAATATAAATTAACATCTGTATTATTTTACCTTTACATTAACATTAAACACACTCTCAAAATCCTCAACAGACATTTTCAACATAAAATTGTCTCTGGTAATTCCTGCAGCATTTACTACTACAGTCGGCGGAGCAGAGTAATCAGTAAAAACTTGTTTCAAAACACTACTTACAGACTCCGTATTAGACACATCTAGTTGATAGGATTTGTGACCTTTGCCTAAATAATATATTTTGGTTAATTTTTATCACTAATAGATTTTTAATATTACCTGCGTAGGTACCTGTTAGGTCAGCAACAGTGGACTCTACATTATTTAGGTTAAGATCTGCAGCTACTACTGTAGCACCTTCTCGAGCCATCAGATGACAAACCGCTCGACCAATACCACCTCCCGCTCCTAAAATTAACTAAGTTAATTCTTATATCTCTATGAAACACAAAAATAAAATATTACCAGTCACAAACGCTAATTTCCCAGGTAACATATTGGTCAATTATCAATTTAAAATACTGCTCTGCTATGCAGGTTATTTGAAAATCATTAATATTAATGGTATTAATATGTATTGAATAACGTGATTTCTAAAATTTTAAATGAAAAATCAAAACATGAATAAAATTTGAACTATGAACTCTTCAAGCATTTTGCTTTTTCTTATTTGTATGCTCTACATTAGTCTTCAAGACTACGACTCTACAGACTACTATCTAATCTTTGTGATAAGGTCAGTTGATAAAAACAAGTTTATGATAACCGTGGTATAGTATAATAATTATAAATTAAATAAAGATTATGGTTATAGATAGGTTTTAAACTTATTTAAACTTATTTTTTTAACGTATCCCATTATAGTCAGTTTGTTAATAAAAGCGAATACTGATATACTAAATTGACCTCTTGTTCCCAATCACATCTCCGCTGTATTGCTTCAGTTTCTTTCTTAATCGCATTTTCGTTTCATTAATCACTTGTTGATCTATTCCAATATCAATCTAAAAATATAAAGTAATTTCATCCAATATTATAATAAATAGTTCTAATGCGTACAACTTGAAAAATAATTTTAATGATATTTTAAATATACAAACCGATTTTAAAAAAACGTCCTAAGATAATGGGGATGGGTGCAGCCACTGTTATAGATAATTTAATGTACCTATACCTATAAGTAACGATAAACCATTGTTTACGAGAAAATGATTCTGAGCAAAGTTCAGTTGATAATGATGCTTTGTCAACAATATATATATATATATATATATATATATATATATATATCATTTTATAGTAAAAAAAAATAATAAAATAGACTTTATACATTTTCTTTAATAATATTTATTTAATGTTGTACCGATTTTCCTAGTTTCCCTACGTTTTTCCCGATTTCTTATGTTTTATCCTGGTTTTTCGCATTTGCTAGGAAAACTCTTGGTAAAATCGAAAAATGACCTCCCCGCACCGATTTCCTTTCGGAAAAGGCGCTACACTTAGAAATCTGAACAAGTCTTCTGGTAGAAAAGTTGCGCACAGATGAAAAAAAAAAAACATCTTTATAAAATCATAAGCTTCTTCGCTCCACTCAGAATCTAAAAATTAGCTGGATATGCCGTATATAATTTAAACTGAAGTTGACTGTGGTATGATTTAGCGCCATCGGTCTTTTCGTACCATTAGGTTCTTCAGCCCACAATGAAAGAGAAAAAAGTTCAGTGTCAATATAATTTTCGAGTACATAATTAGCAAAATAATACCGTGTATTTTGTATGTTTCGAATCTTCAGATAAAACGTCATTAAAAACAACGGAAACCAAATTTATCGGTAATTATGGTACCTAATCCGAATAACGTTTTAAACCACTTCCGGATCACTGAATTTTTGTCTCTGCACTCTTTATAAAGTATGGAATAGAATTTTTTTTTCCATACCATTATTGACATAAATGACATAATTTACTTGCAATATTTTCAAATACTAACATTACTCGGTGCAATGTAAGCTCAGATTTCAAAATCGAGAAGTAATAACCGTGGATTTAAATCACCAGTAATTTCAGTGTTATTACTTATTTCTTTAAAAAGTATTGGGTAATTGGTATTTACTTATTCATTTTGTATATTCAATATTTAAATGTATATCTAATACGACGTCTGATAATATTGTATTTATTGGTAAATTTACAAACATGTAGTATTAATAAAAACTTTTTTTTCCCAACATTGGGTACACTGGTTTGGAATTTTCGGACCGTGGGGGCGGGGGAATTATCTACATTCTACTTCTGTAAACAGTACTATTTTTTTTTTTCAATGGACGCTTTTTATCTGTCGTGTTTCGGACGCTTTACTTGTCCCGTCCTTTAAGTGCCAAAAGTCTAAGCTAGTGATTTACGTCGCCCTTTTGTTGTTCGTTTTGATTTAATCGTCAACTCATAAACTATGGCTGCTGGAAAAAAACAGGTATGTTTTATAATTTAAATTTTGGATATTTCATACAAAACTGTTTTAAACTTATGACAACCACGTGTCATTTGTAGATTTATATACTTCATATTTTATTTTTATAAATCAATTTCCTTGAATTTATTATTTTTGAAATAGTTCTATTTATTGGCAATTCATCTCGTGGTTAAATAGTACCAAATTTATTATTTATTAATGGACAATTTCATTATGAAATGGTCACTGATCCATTGACACATTGATTTAAATAAGTATTGCTATACGATTTACAATTTTATGTCAAATACTGCCCAACCTTGAATATATGGATAAGTAAATTAAGATTATTTCAATGTTCTAATGAGTACCTATGTACCTAACTTAATAAGTTCTATTGTTTTTTTTTTTTGTGATAACTTAAATTTTAAATAACACCCATTTAATCATTTATGAACATTTTACTTTAACTCATTATTTATTGTTCATAATAAATTTCTAATGAATATTTTTATTTGTTGGTTGGTATTAGGTTTTTGGGAAACTGACAACCTGTCCCCGGCAATTTTATTTTTCAGCACATTTAAAATAAGATAACGTTTTGAAATAATTTTATGAAACCAATAAGTGACACTGACAAAAAGAATTGTATTTATTAGTCAGTTTTAGTAACAATTTTAAATTATTAATGTAATATTAACCATTGATTAATTTCTATTTTATTTTTTTAAATTATTATTCCAAACATTTTCACTATAATTTCCTTTTTAAATTATATCTAAAACTATCTATATTATATATAAATTATTATATTGTATTTTTTTGTTTTAAAAATATAATTGTACCCGGTTTGTAAGTATAAAACCAGAATTTATGTACAGAAAATACATGTGTATTGTATTAAATAGATATCAAATATTTTATTCGAAATATTGTCCATTGCTAGCTATACATTTTTCTCATCTGTCTGCTAATTTGAGAATGTCTCGCCAAAAAAACCGTTGTTCTTTTGAGGTAACTTATTCATTGAACCATTTTTGTACATTTTCGTAAGAAGTGAAGCTCTGCTCAGCAAGTGCAAATTCCATCGATGCAAATAAATAGTAATCAAACGGAGCCAAGTATGGTGAATAAGCCACATGCAAAAATATTTGCCAACTAAATGTATCAATTGTTTCTTTGACCAGTTTTGCTGTGTCATTATCATGAATCAAAGTAGCTTGTCTTTTTTTTTTTGATATTTTGGTCGTTTTTCACGTAAATCTTGAGATTTTCAATGTTATTACAAACTATGCAGTTGTATGTAACTTGTATTGTTATGAATTGAATATCTTTTGTCAGATATTAACATGAAAATAACGTAAACTATGCGGGTTGGAAATAACTACATTGCTAACTGGAGGTATTTATAGACAAATTCTGGTTTCATATTTACAAACCTGGTGTAGTTTAATGTTTAAAAGTTGTTTGTGTAAGTGGTAAAAAGTGTATAAAAACATTCTGAAAAATAATTTACTAGAGACAAATAGACATCCTTGATCCAGTTGTTTTGGGTGCCAATTAAAACCACAATTTCAGATTAAGGGTTACCTCGCTTAGCTAGCTGTCAAATTATTATACTCAAAAAAATACACCAAATACTAAAATTAATGGTTGATATTGAAAATATATGAACAATAATTTTAATTTTCTTGTAATAGCCATTGTCTATGGATACAAGTGTTGATATTTCAATTACAGTGGTCATTAGTATAATATATCAATTGTCTTTATTATAGGATAACAAAATTTATCTATACAAACATGGGTCAATCTTAGTTGTTCAGAAACCATTTACCTTTTATGTATAATACTTAACTAATAATTTATGGAGAAAATTGTTTACTATTAATAAACAAAATATTTGTTTTTGTATTTGTAGAAAAAGGCTTTGGAAAGCATCAACACCAAATTGGCTCTCGTTATGAAGTCTGGAAAATGTGTACTTGGCCTGAAGCAATCATTGAAATCTTTAAGACAAGGAAAATCTAAACTAGTTATCATTGCAAATAACACATCTCCATTAAGGTGAGACTGAGAAGTAGGAAACCCCGTTTTTTATTATATGGAAATGTATCATTTCCGACTGGGGTTTACCTATGGAGTAGTCTCAAGTTAGGTAGACTAATTTTCATACATCTAAAATCGCAATGTCGACATGAGAACAGAAAAAATGGTTAATTATTATTTAAGCCACTAGTTGAAATCGTATATCTTATAATTTTTATTAAATATAAATGTTATAAAGAACATATCAGTTTTATTCATATTATTATGAATTGGTTATATGAGTTTTGATGTAAAACATTTGTAACATTTTGATCCAAAAATTATTTTTATGGTTAAGGGTCACAAACTAAGAAATTTTAATTTTCAAATCTATATTATTACTGGAATGTTTAATTTATGAACATTTGAGTAATAATTTTGTAAAATCCAGGGCTTTGAATCCATTGAAATACCCTAATAAATGATTATGTACTTGTACACCAATTCAAAATAATATGACTGTTACTGTATTTTTGTTAAACTTATTAATACCATTTCTATTCAGTTAATTAGAAAATTATAACTTGTCTTAAAATGTGTTATTTAATGAGAACCATCATTATGATACAAATTTCATTGAGAATTTTAAGAATAGACTTTTAGCTTATGACCTTCATCCATTAAAATAAACTTCCAATCAATATGTCGTTAATGTTTTATATCAAAACTTATAACTTCATAAGTAGTGACCAATAACGGTATATCAAACTTGCCAAGTCTCATGTTATCAGCCAAAAGGTCATTTAAAAGTTATATGAAGTTTCAAATTATGTAGACCATAACATTTTCAAAAGTTTGAATTTTGTTTCTTCACTTTTGTGGAATACATCATTAATATGTGGTTGAAATCTTCCAATTAGGTAAATCATGTTAAATATCTGGGTATGTGTTATTACCTACTAGATAATTAATTTTTTTTTTTTTTTAGAGTATCGGAGATTGAATACTACGCAATGTTGTCGAAGACTGATGTTTTCCAATATTCAGGTAACAACATTGAGTTGGGTACTGCGTGTGGTAAATATTTCAGAGTTGCTACATTATCAATCACTGACCCTGGTGATTCAGATATCATCAAAACTATACCTACTGACCAAACAGCCCAATAATCATTGTGTATCATCTATATTTTGATATAATAAATATTTTCTCACATAATTAGTAATTTTTTTTTATTAATATAATATTATAGATTATTATTTATAATAATTCATACCATTTTATTTCCACGGATTTTTGATTTATCAGTATTAATTATTTGATTTGGAAGTTAGTTTTATTGAGGACATTGAAATTGGTATATGTCATTATTCTTTATATTTTAAATGTTTATTTTTTATTTTTTTAATATTTGTGAAAAAAATATATAATACAGGGCAATTCACTCAACTGGAAATGCTCATGAACTCAAAAAGCTTTAACCTTTTTTTGGATTTTTTTATTTTTTGAAAACTTAGGGAACAAATAGTTCTTAAATGTTACATTATCCTTATTTTTGGGAGTGAAATAACCTACTATTGATTTTCAAATATCAACCTATTTATATTAAAATGCTTGTAGTTGTATGTAAATGTATATAGTTTGGTGTTGACATTTTTGATTTTTGTCTACTTGTTAACAAGATATTCCACTTTCAAAGTTTGAATAGAATGAGAGTAGTGGAATATTGTATGTGTGAATGCTTAAAATAGCTGTCTGCCTATTTTTTGCATTACATAATATACAATGGTAATTATACCTAAATATGATAACAAGACAGGCATGCAGCCTATGAAGGTTTATAGGATACCTGCACGAGTCTTATGTTGTAAGTCATTAAATACTAAAGTACAAAATACATTTCTGAGTGTTTACTACTAAAATGTGATTTTGAAAAATAATTTAATGGACCAGAACTTTATTTTTGTGATATAATATTCAGAGTGGAAGTTTTAAAAATGGTTTATAGAGATTATGAACATCAAATTTAAAAAACAAGACATCCTAGGATAATGATGTTCGAGTGCAGCTACTGTAATAGGTAATTTAATGTATATCTGTAAGCAACGAAAAATAATTAAATAGGCATTATATATTTTCTTTAATAATATTTGTTTAATATTATACCAATTTTCTCACATTTGCTAGGAAAATCAGAAAATAAGCTGTACTTGATACATCAGAGCAAAATTTTTAGTAGAAGTTTGCACAATTCAAGCAGTATTTTTCGATTAAATAGTCCAAGCGAGCGATAGCTTGGGTCTCTAGGCCCACCCAAAATGTATTTGTTTTTTCCTTGTTTAGGTAAAAGGGGAAAAAAAAATTTTTTTAAATATGAACTCTTAAACCTTAGGATGTAAATAAGTATATATAACCATTCAGCTACGACAAACATGCTTTGAAAAGACAGACAATATTTAGTTATGTTAAAACATATAATATCAAAACTTCAAAAAGCTGTAATTTAAAAACTTAATCTGTTCAATTCTAACTTCATCATCGTTATTAAATCGGCAATATACATATGTTAAAAAAAAATAAAACTGAAAAATTTCATTTGATCCACATAATTTTTTACCCAATGATTTTTGTCAAATTTTAATGAAGTCAAACAATTTTACCACAGAGTACCTACTGAATAAAAATTACATACAAAACTCCCAAAATTTAAATGTCTAAATAGCTTAAACATGTTTTAAAAATTCTACCAGGTCCAGAAAAAACAAATGTAAGTTTTCTGTCCTAATCTCAAGTCTATGAATATTTTTAACTGAATTACAAAAAATTACAAGATTAAAAAATAATAAAATCATTATAGTTGTAAATTTCCAGTTTTTCTTACATTTTATACTGGTTTTTCTCAGATATTATGAAAACCACTTGGAAAATCAAACAAGTACCATCTGGACAACATTCCTTTTCAAAAATGGCGCTGCATGTAGATGTCTGAGCAAGATTTCTGGTAGAAATTTTGTACACAATATAAAAAAAAAACCTCAATAAAACTAATACGTTTTTCACTACACTCAGAATCTAAAATATACGCTTAGGTAACTTGTAAAAAATTGAATTTAAAGGTTCGTTTATTAAAAATTAAATATTGCGTGTGTTAAATATACATATATTTTTTTGTACTAATTTAAATACTAAGGAATTTTTTTCTTTGAAATTTAATACTTAAGACCACTAGAAATCATTTTACAAACAAAAATTGATGGAAACCTTGTTTACCCAGCCAAATATAACATTACAATAAGAATAAAAATAAAATAAAATTATAGTGGTTCACCCTATAATATGTATAAAATAATGAAATTTATTAATTACTTTATAACTCAACATTTATACCTTGTGATAATATAGTCAAATAGTTAAGACAAAATTATTTTACTTCTGCTTATGAATTAAAACAAAAAATAAGTGTTTAATAATAATAAAAATAAAAATGCACAGCTTAGAAAAATAAAACAGTTTAGTAACAAAACAAATGTACTGTTTAAAAAAAAAAAAACACAATATAAAAAGATAACCAAGAATTTAGGAATTTGATAATACTTTGAAATGATCAGCAGATTGTAACTGGTTTACATCTTTTTGTGATCCAGATTTTATCATATCGGATCTATCTAACAAAGCATCCAATTCTTTATCGGTAAAAACTAAAAACCACAATTATAATAAGGGTAAATAAACATATTAACTTTATGTTAAATAAAATATTTAACACTTACTATATCCATTTGATTGTATTTTTTTGTTATATTCGGATGATTTTAACAAACTCATCAATTCATCGGCATCTGATAAAGTCATCTTTTTATTATTAATATTTTTAAATGCTCCTACAACATTAAATCAATTATGTATTTAAAATAGAATGTATAATATTATAATATAATTTTACCATTTCCAACAATTAATTTTTCTAGTTTTCTCTTTGCGGCCCCAAAATCTAATATTCTTTCATCAATAGTATTTTTAGTACACAGGCGATAAACAACGACTGGTTTTTCCTGTCCCATTCTATGGCACCTATCTTGGGCTTGTAAATCACATTGAGGGTTCTGAAATAATACATTATAATTATTTTTGTAATCTACACCAGTGGTCACCAATTTTTCTACTACAGAGGACCATAAAAAATAAATAACTAATTCTTGGTTAACTGTTTTAATGTGACTATCAATTTTTGAAATTTGTAGTTATTCTTTTTTTCAACTTTGATTTAATACTATGGTGGCCCAATTAATAAATGATCACAGGCCGTAGTTGGTCGCCACTGGTCTACACTATTCATCATTTATTATATATGATATTAATTGCAACATTTTCGGAATTTTTTTTTTTAAAATTCATGTCAACAATTAATCTGATATTTTATTTTGTAATATAAAAAAATAATAATAAAAACTCTACATTAAGATATTGATCATCATGAACAAAAGAAATTGAAATTAGAAACATAGGTAGTAGTTGATTAAAATAATAATGTAGCACTAAAAATATATGCAATACAATAAAATATCAAATAATACATTGAATAAATAAAAGCTATGGAAAGTATTTGCATTCATATTGATCATTAAAATATTAAGGAACGTGTTTAAATTAAGAAAATCACCTATAAATAGAAATTAACTCATAGTTGGTAGATAGTATTTTCCCACTATCACAACAGACAAAGTGAGTATTCTATATAATAATTGTAATTTGTAATTACAAATTTACAATTTTATGAAAAACAATCCATACCCAGTCACTGTCATATATAATGACAGTATCTGCAGCAGTCAAATTCAAACCCAGTCCTCCTGCACGTGTAGATACTAATATTATAAAACATTCTGGATCACTGTTGAACAATTTAATTGCTTCTACTCTAGCTGCAATTCTATGGGAACCATCTAATCTGGTATACTTATAGTGTCGGAATATCAAAAATTCTTCAATTACATCCAATATTTGAATCATTGTAGAAAACAATAAAATCTGAAATTTTATAAAATACTATAATTATAACAGGTTGACAGCCAGTGAAAAATTCTGTCAAAAAGTATGAGATGTTAAGGTTAGGTCATCAGCATAAATTTGTATTTATTTATTATTACAATTTTATTACATTTTCTTTCATTTATCCTTGGTAGGTCCATATTATGAATTTAAAAAGTAAAGGTACAAGCAGGATCCTTGGAGGAGACCAGTTATTGAGCATTTTTATACTAATATTTTTCTGTCCTATATACCAGGTCTGTAAATACGAAACCGCAATTTTCACAGAAAATATATGTTTATTGTGTGAAGTAGATAACAAATATTTTATTCAAAATATTTTCCATTGCTAGCTTTACATTTTTCCCATTTGTCTGCTAATTTGAGAATGTTTCGCCAAAAAAACTGTTGTTCTTTTGAGGTGACCCATTCATTGAGCCATTTTTGTACATTTTCGTAATAAGTGAAGCACTGCTCAGCAAGTGGGTGTCCCATTGATGCAAATAAATAGTAATTGAACAGAGCCAAGTCTGGTAAATAAGCTGCATGCGAAAGTATTTCCCAACTAAATACCTCAATCGTTTCTTTGACCAGTTTTGCTGTGTGATGAGGCATTATCATGAATCAAAATAACTTGTTTTTGTTTTAAATATTTAGGTCACGCAAAGCTTGATTTAAATCAATCTTTTTTTGTCAGTAGCGTTGAGTATTAAAATTTTCACTAGGTTTTAGTAACTCATAATAGATCAATAGATCACACCAAATACAGCACATTGTCTTTTATCAAAATTTTTCGTTGGTCTTCCGTTTTCTTTATTTCTCACGTCAAAATCGCCTCATTTAAATTTTTAAACCACTCAAAGTTCGTAATTTTCGGGTACAAATTTCAACATGTTCAATGTTATAACAAACTATGCAGTTATATGTAACTTGTATTGTTACAAGTTCAATATTTTTTGTTAGATGTTAACATGTAAATAACGTCCATTATACAGTTTGGAAATAACTATATCAATTTATATGCAAATTTTGGTTTCATATTTTCATAATTATACAGAAAAAAATCTGTTAAGTAGTTTTAGTAATATTTCATATGGAAGCCCTTGTCTCCGACAATATTGTTAACAGATTTTAAGTCATTGAATATTATTGTAGTTTTAACATACCAATTATAACCATTTTCGATATGAATAGTTAGTGCTACTAATTGCCACAAAGTAATAAGCCAAATATTCCAGCTTAATTATAAGTAAATATTATTTAGTAGCTTAAAGCTTAATTCATAAGTAATATGACGGAATAATTAATAGCTTGATGAATTTAGAATAACACTCTTAAAGGAAAGTGACTAACTATAAGGGGTAATAGACGAGGTTGAGAATTTTAAGCATTTTATCTATTGTACAAAATAATAGTGGTTTTCATGAGAACATGATGCATACAAACGTGGTTAGATAAAGTGAAGAGTAGTATTAGATGTTTTGTTTGATAAGAGAATTTCAATGTGACTTGGAATTGAGTTTTATAAAAATGTGATGAGACTATGTTATATGTTTCAGAGTATTAGGCAGAGATGAAAATGCTAAGCATTAGGTTAAATTAGGATGAGTGGAGAGGATAATATAAAAAGAAGATAAGAATATAAGATCAGAGATGAGTAGATAAAAAGTAGCTTTGGTGTGGCTTTGATAGTAGACAAAATAGACTGAGATGGTGAAGTTTAGAACGAGTTACCGACCTCAAATAGTTGAAATGAAGGCAAAGGAGAAGACTATAATTATAAATGTTAAAATAAAATTATAATAGCACCTAAATAATATACGGTTATTTATTACTAAAAATAACTTATTTTATATATTACCTTATGGCCCCGTGATTTTAGTTTTGGGAGCATAGCATCCAAAACTTGAAATTTTCCACTAACTTTTACAATGTTATAATTAACACGAATTTCGTTTTTTCCTGGAATTAAAGGCATGTGAATAAGATATGGATGATTGGCAATTTTTTTCAATTGAACATGTGGTGTGTTCATAACTAAGGAGATGGCCATATTTGGATTATCAACCCTAAAATTATTAAAAATATACACATAGTTTACATAATGGCAGTAATAATATTTATACAATTATGTTTATTACTGTATACAATGTCTGAAAATTTCTGTTACTATTGTGATTATAAGATTAACTAAATTACGTTTATTGAATAATGAGCATTATTATCATAGTGAACATTCTCAAATTAAGACTATGTCTGTTAATCAAAATGTTAGCAAGGTTTCAAAACACCAAAAAAAGTCAACCCTTTCATCACTCGTTAATAATTCTCTTTTTTTTTTCTTCTGAACTATGATTATTCTTTTTTAAAACTATATCATTTTTGAATACTTACTCTTGTTTTATTGGTTCAGTTCTAATAGCATTGTTATAAGTATATTTTACTATGCGTTGTACACAGCTTCTTTTAGGAGTAATTCCATTTATAATATCAATATTCTGAAAATAATACTTATAATAATTTTATGGCTATTATTATTTTTAAATGTCAGATTCTTAATGAATCAAATTCCTTAAAGGTTAATAATTATATATTTTTTAAAAGAAAAAACAAATTACTTTTTCCTTTTTTTCTAATATTTCCAATTGATGATTCAATGTCGCTTGATATAATTTTTTTTGCATTTTAGTAATTGGAGCATACACAATTATTTCTTTCTTTGGTGGTAATTTTAGATCAGTGTCTTTCTTTTCTCGTCTTAAAATAAAGGGCTTTAATATCTAAAAAGTAAAACATAAAAAAATTAAATATTGGAAGATTAGCTATTATCATGATAAAGTAATACAAATATAGTTGTATAGCATTCTATTTATACGTGAAAATATATCACATATAGAGTAAAGTATAAGAAAGTTGTAAATATTTTTATCTCTTACTTAAATATATTTACTATAGTAGTTGGAAGATATTTTTATTTATTTATAAGAATAAAAAGTTGATTTAATGGCCCAAGAATTTTGAGCAAAATAATTTTCTACTATCAAAGTCACCTCTAATACCCTCGTTCCTTATCCTATATATCTTGTCTCGACACTCCACTCATTCCCTTAAGCATTCTCATCTCTGTTACACTTATTTATGTGTCTACCGCCTAACACTTCAGACCATACAACATAGTCAGTCTCAACACGCTTTTGTTAGAATTTAACTTTAAGTCTCATTGAAATTCTTTTGTCACATAAAACACTGGACGCTTTTTCCACTTTATCCAACTACACAGTTTCACAATCTCATGAAAACCAACATTATTTATTTTATCCAAGAGGTTCTAGGAACTTTAAACTGTCAACCTCGCCTATTTATATCACTGCTTATTGTTATTATTTTTCTTTTTCTGTTCCTCCAAACTCATACTTTTATCTATAGTCCCTATCTTTTAAGTGATACTCTCCATTCTTCGAGTCTATTGTCAACTTATTCCAGATTTTTTCTTATAATAGCTATATCATCTACAAACGTCATAATAATATTTATACACAAAATATAACACTTAGTTGACCTACCTTCAGTATCGTGTCCAATATTTCATCTTTTTTCACTAAAACCACAATTTCATCATTAGAACAAAAGAAATCATCAATTTTAAGCCACGAGTTGAAATCTTCTAACTTATTGAACAAAAATGGCATTAATAAATTTAACAAACACCATAATTCAGTCATATTATTCTGAATGGGTGTTCCAGTAAGTATTAATTTATTAGTACATTTTAATTGACGCATAGCCCTGAATTTTATAAAATATTTATCATTATACTTTTCATAAGTTAAATTCAAAAATACAAATATTACTAACCGAGAGATATCAGAATCAACATTTTTAAGCTTATGTCCTTCATCTATTATAATAAATTTCCATTCAATTTTTTTCAAATATTTTATATCAAATCGTATAACTTCATAAGAAGTAATTATAATAGAATAGCAATATTTATCGTTTACATTGTGCATTTTTCCAAACTCTGATCGAATTTTTTCTCGTTCTTTTTTGTCACCATGATACAAAAGTGCATGCAACTAAAACAAAAATACAAATCTTAAAAACATTAATGATTTTAAAATCGGTTACTTACCTGAGGGGCAAATTTAGCAAACTCTGTTAGCCAATTTGGAATTGTAGAAAGTGGTGCAATTACCATAAATGGGCCAGTTATGCCCATTTCTATTAGAAAACAGAAGAAAGCTATTGCTTGTATAGTTTTACCAAGTCCCATATCATCAGCTAGGATACCATTCATACCGTTTTCATATAAAGTCTAAAAAATAAATTTGAATTCACAACAAGGAATGTATAAATTATACAACTTAATAGTTTTTTTTCTTTCCATTCAAAATGTTGACAGATTTAAATGGAAAATTACAATACAAAATATCTTTTTATATTAAATTAATTTAATACATACTCGAATCCACAAAAGACCTTCAATCTGATGAGTTTTAAGTTGTCCATTCAATAATTGTGGTTGTTGAAATAAATTTAAATAATAGTTATCTTTTAATTTTGAATCCTAAATGTTAACAGTTAATATTTAATATAATTATGTATATTGTATTACATTAATATAACATTCCAGTTTAAAAATAGTACGTAATTACATCACTTACATTAGTTGATTGATTATTTACACTTTGTGTTATAGTATTTTCTTTCTGTTTCATTTCTTGTCTACATAACATTAAATAAAATAAAACTATAACATTTAAAAACTTCTAATGCAATCATCTTAATAATTTCTCAATGCATTAAATTTATAGACAAAAAAAAAATTACTTATTTTCAGTATTAAATAAAAACAATTTTTGTTTTCAATTATATAAATATAGAACTGTTTAAACTTTTAATAGGCAATTTATATCTCTTAATTATTATAAAACAGCCAGCGAAAAGTGAACTGTGATCATTTTTTTCGTATTCGGGAGTTCTACAACTGACAGTTGATGCATATTTTAAGCAGTTGCTTTCTATACAATCCACATTTCGTAAATATTTTTCAATTCATTAATTTTACGATACATGTGACTATACCTATTCATGTGCAATTGTATTATTTGTTATTATAAAGGTATATATTTAATTATAATAATTGTAATGTTACAATTTGCAGTTCAAAAATTGAACAATTTGTCACATCTCTAATATTTTGTGCTACAGTTGGAGTAAAACAAACTATAAATAACATTACTAAAGTAGTAATAATATAATACTAATAGGTATACTATTTAAAATTGTTGAGTTAGCTAAAATTTATTTTATTATACTAATTTAATGTGATTAAATTACTTACTTAATAATTTGCTCTTTACATTTCTCTAATCTACTTTCAAACATTTGAGTTATTTTTGAACTTTTATTTAGAAGTTCAAGCAAATTTAAATATCGCAATTTCCTTGTTTCTTCATCCAAATCATTTAACTAATAAATCACAAAAACAATTATAAATTGTAGATAACCAGTATTTTCAAATATTTTATCCGTATTGATATCCATGACATGAAAACAAACGAGAATTTTTTATTAATTTAAATTTAGAAAACCAATTAGTTTATATTTTAATAGGCTTAATATTAATACATAAAAAGTCAAACATAGGGAAGTTTCGTGAAAAATATTATGTTAGATGATTGTATTAAACTGTATCAAGAAATTTTTAAATTTAAATTTATAGTTTATGAACCTACTATTATATTTTATAAATAAGAAGTTAAATTATTTACCGTTGACACTTGTTCAGAGTTATCTAATTTCTTTGAATGAACTTCTCCCAATAACACAGTTTCTGAAATGATACCATCTTCTAAAGAAAATTAAACACATTCAAATTTTAAGTGATAAATTATAAAAAAAAATAAACAATTCTAATGTATAGCACTAGGATAAATAATGCAAAGTAGTGATTATTACATTATTACATATTCACTGTTTCTTAATCTTTATATAATTATAACAATAAATTATTTTTACCTAAAGAAATATTTTTCTATGCAAAAAAAATATATATCTGAACCTGGTAATTCTACGAATTATTTATCAATGGATACAGAGAAACAAAATAAAGTTGTACTAGAAAAAATAAATTTGAATATCCAAAATGAAATTTAATACTATTATTTTTTTTAGATTTAAAATGAGATTAAATCAAACAAATTAATGAACTATTAACATTTTTTTTTTTTAACTACTCTTAATCTTACATATACTACAAACCATAGAAAAATGTTTTTAGTTTTTCACACTACAATATTTATTATTTTTGTTTTTATACATGAATTTCATTTATACACAGCAGTGACACGACCGTTCAGGATTCCCCCTGTGTGTGGTTAATAATATTCTTAAAGGAATGATAAACTTGTTCTTCTCACTTATCTAGTATTGTACGATTACAAGCAGTGCTGTTGGCGTCATTGTACTGTCACTATTTTATATTTCACGTAATTTTTAGTTTGGTATTAACTTTTCTCAATTTTAGTTTTAAATATAATAAATAAATATGTAAATAAAAATTTAAAAACAAAAATAAAAAATAAATGAATAAATGTGTCACCTGGAGTATTATGATAAGTGTATTATACGACAGGTTTTGGATTAAAAATTCATCATCAGGTATGTCACAGTTAAAATGTAAAACTTTTGAGACCGGTCGTATAATACACTTATCATAATACTCCAGGCAACATATTCATTCTTTATTTGTATTTTTTTATTTATAAATTTATTTATGAGTATTAACCATTTTAGTAATTTTGTTTTTAATTTATTATTTTATTCTTTAGTTTTAATTCATTATACCTAGTATCAGATAAAACACAGAGAAATCATGGCTGATGGAATCTTGGAACACTTATGTCACTGTCACACGACTGCTGTATATAAATATACCTTTAAAGTTCTTACCTGATATACATGTTTCATTTTTTGTAGTATTTGTACTCTTCTCATCAAATTCACTTACAATAATTGGTTCATTGTTTTGTTTCATTGGTTTCTTTGTTATGCGTGCTTCTATGATTTAAAAACAAGATTATCAAGTGTTCATTAAATTAATACCGATGAATTAAAAATCAAATATTTTACATAAAATAAAATAATTTGAATTCTATAACTATGCACTAAAATTGAGTGAACAAATAAAAATAGTTGTTTGAAATAAATAATTATACAACATAACATTTATATTTAAATGTGTACACATTAAACAATTTTGTAAAGTGTATATACTTTTTCTAACAAAAAATCAAAATTGCGACTTAAGATTAGGGAACTTTTTATGAAGAAAATAATTTACTTAAACTTGTTTGAATGATTTTTAAAACATTTGAATTTCCTAATTAATTATATATAGTTAAAATTAAGTTAAATTAAAACACATACATCTTGATAAAAATGAAAATATTAAAAAAAAAAAAATGTATTAAGCTCAAGTAAATACTTGCTTATTTATAAAATGTATAATAGGTTTCTTTGTCTTACATTCAACCCAAGTTACTTTTGTGGAAGAATGTCTGTTTCTATATTAAATGTGAGATAGGCAGAAAACAAATGTATAACATTACAAAAAGTAGTAATATCATACCAAACACTTAAAGCATACAATGTGAAAAGCAGCCAAATTTACAGAAAAATTAATGATATCTTAGTAGGTGCCAAATTTAAATTTGTTTAGAAATAATTCTGTTTACTACCTACTATTAATGTTTGACTTGAGAAGTTTTATTTTATAATAAATGAGTTAACACACACAATTTATTGTAAATAAAACTTGTCTAAACATAAAATTAATAAGCATTAGTAAATTAGTAAAATAATAAACAAGCAATTTTTTTTTTCAACAATTTCAACAGTTAGATATTATTATTTTTTATGTCAAACTGTTTTTTAAAATTTAAATTTTTGATTGTATTAGATTTTACTAGGTAAACAATTTAATATAATTACCTCTTTGTCTATACAAAAATTAAAGGTAGGTAATACAAACCTATTTAATAATGTTTTTGCCCAATAATTAAACGGTGTATTAATACAATTATAAGAATTTTCTAATTTAAATTATCATATTGTATATTTTATATTTAGATACTATGGATGGACCTCATAATGGCTAATTGGGCCATACTATACAAATTGCGTATCCAAAATGTGCCTTAAATTGTTGGAGTAAATAAATTACATAGTTCCATTGCACCTTAGGTACACCTACACCTCTTAAATATAATTTGCATCCCCAACCACCAATGACTGGCACCAGGAGAGTGTTTTAGATTGTCACTTCTAGATCCGTAATGAATCCAGAAACATAATGACTAGGTAAATTGATTATTTATATTTTACCTATATCTTCGGCATTTAATTTGTATTTTGCCCCACTCTGTCTATTGTGATCCATCATAATATTCCAATAACTGGATTTCAATATTAGTTACAATTTGGTACAATCTGAAATTTAAATTAGGTAGGTACCTATATTAAATTAAGATAAAAATTAACCAGTAGGTACACTAGAGTAAAATGTTTAAAACCATGAACCCCAGGATAATTAATAATAGTTACTTACCCAAGTAGTTAATAGTAAACAATTGAAAGTTGGTATTAAAGTTATAATTTTATCATACACATGGAGTCAGTACAGTACTCGATAGGTATTTACTAACAAGATGGATGGTTACGATTTTTTTATTATAATAACAAAATTATTTATTTCAAGAAAAAGAATTATAAAAAAAAACACTATAGTACATGTTTTAAACTCATAATGATGATAAATCAAAAATCTTTTAAATGAAATAATATTTTAAACCGCATACACGAAATAGTATAACTATTAAAAATAAAGAGGCAAGAGGGTTGTTCTTTATTCTAAAGGGCGGCTTATAAATTGGAGGGAAACAAAACGGCAGATGAAGAACGCGTATTGCGCTTTTTAAAAGTGTGTTAACAACACCTTAACGGATGACAGTAGAGGGGACTGAATCACAGGCAACATATTATTAAACATGAAAATACTACTGGACCGGCTGCTGGCTTGAACATTAAAGCTGATGCACTCATTCCGATTACACACTTTTGTATACTAACAGACTACCTGCAGACTGTAGATTGTAGTAGTCATTATCCAAATTATGTAGGAGCCACAGTTTTTAATTTTCATTAGGTTATACGTTCAAAAAAAAAATACAAGAGGACATTATCACAGAATAGAATAATACTTGGCAAAATGCTTAAATTATATTTTTCTCCAAGAAATGTTTGTTCCAAATGTTCCAACTGATTTTTGTTCCACAAAATACGTCTCGTTATCTCGTCCACGTTAGGTTAGGTCACGATTATTAAATTATTATCGTGGTTCCGATCAGGCTAGTCAGATGTGCCATTATTATGATATTCATACCATTTTTTTTTTTACACATTGTACCGTAAACAATTATATGGTACACAGAAAATACCATAAATAAAATCTCACAGAAAACCAAGTAGTTATGTTTCTATCGAACAGTAGTGTATAACCGGTATGTACTCTATGGTAAAATTGTTTGACTTAACAAAAATGCTTGACAATTTAATAGGAGGTTCATTACTCATATACTACATATATGAGAGTATTACATTGTGGTCAAAAATGAAAAGTTTATGTTTAATGTGGTATTTTTTTTTTATAAGGGAATTTTCATATCAAATTTTGATAAAAATCGTTAGAATAAAAAATTATATGGAACAAATCTAATTTCAAGCAATTTCAAGTATGTGGACCCATCCATTCGTAAATAATTTTGCCAGTCTTTAGGGCAAATTCTAAGTTCAGTAAACAGGTTTACATGTGAATATTTCGTCCTTTTTGATAATCATTCCTTCACCCATACACTTCTTTTGCGCTTTTTCACGCGAGATTTTAAACAATTGACTGCCACCAAGCAACCAATGGCAGCCATAATATCGTTATCTGACTTTTCCATTTTGAATATACACAATATACGAATGAATTTCATCAAAATGATATAAGAACATTGAGAACATAATATTAATAACGATATTTATAACGATATATAATAACGAATATTACACACGCGCGCGGCACGCAATTGAGTTCACAAGAATAGTTTGCTTTTTTTTTTTTCTATAGTAAGCGTAGAATATCGTATACTATATAGATAAGAAGGTAGTGGCCAGTAGATACAGACAAAAATTCTCGAATAATTTCCAAGCGTGTGGCGGCGGGTCCTTTCCTTGAAGATTTCCTCTACGTGTGTACCTTTATATGAAACCGAGATATCAGCAGAACGTACAAACAATTATTTAAGATAACATTTAGATTAGATTAGAGCAGCTTAATCTAACTTAAATCAAAATACCTAAACTAAACTTAATGAGATTCAATTAACTGTGTTTACTTTATAATATATACATTAATACAATAATATATTTTTGAATTAAATTATTAAAATTACCACATTAAGACATTTTTGAGAATGAATTTAAAGTAAATATGATAAACTATACAGAAAGTAAATAGAAAGTAGAAAACTTATTCTATATTTAGAAAAGAACAAAGTTTTATTAAAAATTTCGCACATTTTGGATTTAGAATAATTTTTTTTTTTTAGAGACTTCATTTAGCTCATTAAAAAATGTTGGTCCAAGGAGACCATAAATCTTAAAGAAGTTTTCTTAAATTTAATTTTAGCATCATATGCCCTATTTTCTCTAATTTGTTTATTTCTATCCAGGCTATACCAATTTTCCGTATCCTTTATAACCCATAAAATTGCAAATTGTTTGTAACGTGAAGTGACAGGCAAAACTTCAAATTTATTATAATTATGTAACGTAGATCTTACAAAACTAAGTTTATTAAGACAAATTCTAAGAATTTTATTTTGTCGTGATTGTAGAGGTTTAATTGCTTTTTGTGTAAGTCCTCCCCAAACTAGAATGCCATACTGATATATAGCCTGATAAGAAGATAAATATATTTTTTTCTAACGGTGTCAATAGGAAAAATATTTTTAAGTTTACGGAATTTGTACACTACTGATCTCAAACGCATCACAACATTGTCTATGTGTACATTCAACCTTAAATTTTCATTAAAAGTAATACCTGGGTACCGTATACAAAGAACTTTAAAAAATAGTTTACAAACAATTTTTTCTACATTGCTCCCTGTTTCTACAGAAATGAACAGTAATTTTATCACTTTATCCTGACTACCATATACGTGGCTCGGGGCTCATTTTTTTAAAATCAGTAAAGAGAAACTCGTTCAGTTTGGTAGTATTAAGAATGTCCAGTGGTCTTTTTATTGATATTGATAAGATTGTTGAAAAATGGTCTGCAATATTTATTTGGATGACACCGTCATTAAAGTTTCCTAAACAATCATTATTTTGGACAAAAATATAGTTTAAGTATAAATGAACATTACCTGTCGGTGTTCTGGTATATATATGTGTATAAACAAAAGACTTAAAGTTAAACATTGACATATTATCTATTTATCTAAATACTCAATGTTAGAATTGTCTTTTCCGATTTCTGTTTATATTTAAATCATCTAAAATTACTGTAAACCCACTGTTATTATTATCGTTTAAAACAGATTAAAAAGTTATGGCTATCACTCGATGGAAACCTATACAAAGAAAATATGGTTACATTAGTATTATTAACCTTAATTAATGATTTAAAAATATTAACCTCATCAAAATTATATTCAGAAAATTCATACTCGATGTGTTCTTTGATTAAAATTATGATTCCATCATTCTGGTTTCTTTTTTCTATTTTTTTCTGTGAAAAACGTATTCTTTTCAGGTATATATAAATATTACAAGAATTAACATCGTGCTACGTCTCATTTAACACAAATATGTCAATTTTATTTTTGTTTTTAGAGTTAAAAATTGTTTTTTACATTAAAGTTGTCTGTATTTAGTTTCTTTTTACTCTGCACTACACTTTTTTTTTCTATGAAGAAAACTGAAACTACCAAGGAACTTCAAACAAATGCACAAAAAAAAAAGTACATGGGGGGATATGACATCTCCTGTGAGCACGTCCTTGTTCAGTAGCCCCTACCAAAATAGTTGTGTGAACAATCCAGTTAATTCTAGTTTTGACAGATTTCGGGTTTAAACTGAAACAGACATTACAAATATGATAGTTTAGCAAAATTAGCTATAGATATTATATGAAATTTTTTCCGCATTCCACTAGTTCATAGTACATTGGTTAGACTGAATAAATAAAAACCAATAATTCAATTTTTATTAACTTTCCCGATCAACATTTTGTAAAAATTGGTTTGAAATACATTCAGCATTACATATTATTATTTCATAACAATTAATTTTTTTTTCTTAAATATTTGTCTGTGTATGGTATTATTTTGTTTGTGATTAGTTTTTTCATCATCTAAATCTTCAACTGCTCGATTATTCATTATTCCAACCGTCGGTAAATCTTCTTCTCTTTTACGTTTTTGTTTTTCTGGACAATCTTTGGCAAAATGTGTAACATCACCACACAATCTATAAGTTCACACAAATGTATTAATATTTTAATTGATTTTGAAAAAAATGAATACATTTTGAACATTGATAGATTAGACAAGTCATAGATTCAATAATAGACAAAATTAGAAAAATAGACTGAAGTAGTTTGGGCATGTCATGAGGAGAGAGAAATTTGAAGCAGTAAGAAATGTAACGAAAATAAATACAAAAAGAAAGAAGGACTCTCTCCCACTAAACATCAAAAGGAGGTGAATGAATATTATAGAGAATGATATGAGGCTGGCCAGTGTATGAGAGGTGGGAAATCAGGTCAAATGGAAGTTTAGGACAAGAGTTGCCGATCCCAAATAGTTGGGATGAAGGCAAAGTAGTAGAAAAATGTTTCATTTTGAACATTATGTTTTTAAACATTCAAACAGTAATAACCTTAGAGGAAATATTTATTGTTTATTAAGAAGATGTTATACTGTCTCAGTTCAATTATCGGGTAACATGCAAAAACAATGCTTACGCAGAATAAGTAAAACTAGTAAAAATTGATTTTAGAGTATAAGTGTATATTATGAAATTTATATAGAACAATATTTTGGAGGGAATATTAAAGAGTTTTTGTATTATTCAAAATATACAGCTCTATATAAAAGATACAAAACAATTTGTTTACAAAACTTTTACAAAACCTCTTTATGCCCTATAAAGGGTTAAATAACTAACTTTTTAATAGTTCATAAATCGAAACACCAAGAAATCTTAATCTTTCTCAAGAAAAAAAGATGTTCATTAAATTTAGTGCCAAAAAAAAATGAATGCAATGATAAATATATATTTATTTAACATTTTTTTTTTGTTAGTATGGTTACAAAATAAAATAAATTACCGGCAAGCGCCTCCATTTGGATAGAGGCCCATTGGATTATCTGGACACTGGCGCGAAAGATGACCTTCTTCATTACATATAAAACATTTAGCAAATTCAAGTTGACTATTATTACCAGCATTACGACATTGCTGTAATTTGTGTTCAGTTGAACCACATCTGAAATTGTATAAAAAAGAGTAATTAAGTAGTGTAACTATAGGTATTTAAACAATATTATGCTGTGAAATAATTGAATTGGTAATAGCATTTTGTTTTAATTAAATTTATTAATTTTATCATTAATACGAATAATACATAACTAAATATGTAATGAAAATAAATAGCAAAATTAAAATAATATTATGCTATACAGGGTTAGAGACTTTTGCTTAATTGTTTTGGATTATCATTAAATACAATCTATTTACGAGTTCAAAATATGAAATTTAAAAATTATTTTTTTGCTAATTTTTTTTTAAAAAAAAAGATGCTTTTTTGATTATTTGAATATACTGTTATTAATTTTTACTCACCTAGTAATTATATAATCCACTGACAAAAACCCAGATTTTCACCTCCCATACATTTTAAATAGTTATGCCTATTTGAATTCTGTTCTACTAATTTGTTTAGTTTTGTTATTTTATTTATGTGTCACATCAGTTATTGCTGGGTATAAAGCAATACTAGTCCATAAATGTAGTTTACAAAAATTCAACAATTCAAATATGAAACTTGAAAGAGCTATTTTTATTATTTCCATGGATTTTTTTTAAGTAGTAAATTTCAGAATTTATGTTTTTTAATAGCATTTTTTGTTAATTTTAAGTGCTAGGGATAAGTTCCAAACCATGGTTATATTAACCACTTAGTTACCTATTTCAACCCATAGAGTAATATTACTCAATGTTTCAACCACATTATATCAAATGTAATGATCAAATTGTTGAGGTTGCTATAACAACTACAATAATTCACTACTTCAAATAAGTAATACACTCAAAGTCTCAATATATTATTTCAAATTTAAAATATTACAAATACAACTCCTCTGATGTTCTATTACTACGTACTTAATTTAAAATGAATAATACTTGTTAACAACTATTACGATATTCACAACACCGAAATTATACACTTTAAGTATAATGTAGCAAGATAAGATTGATTTGACATTCAGATATGGATCATTAAAAAAATATGTAAAAAACATAAGAATAAATATTAAAAAAACAATCTGAGAAACCAAACTGTTTTTTAAAACAATTGGTCTTAAAACCTATAATATACAATGTATATTTTCCTTCTCTCCTTAACTCCACTAGGTACTCAACAGAATGTCAATTATATTTAAATGTATAATTTTTAATGGCTATGCTAATACAAGTTCAACACTTAAGATTTTAAAAACGTGTTAAAAACAGGTATATTACAATAATAGAATATATTTTACAAGTAAGTAATCTGCCCAAAATATAGTTGAGATGAAGGAGAAGAAGAAGTAGGTTATCAATATAGTATGTTGTAGTACTCTTACACGGATAGAATGAAAGTAAACAGCATTATGGACTTGTAGTTCATAGTAGTATTGTTGTAGTTGACAATCGTTAAAATTGGGAATAGTGAAATATCAAAGTAATATTATATGGTGGCAGTTGATATAACATAGAAGTGGTGTAATCCTTAATATTGTTGTATATTCCTATTTTGTATTTGAATCAAAATTTCAAATCTATTCTACCTATATACCTAAATCTATTATTTTCTAATATTTGCAGACAACTTACTTAAAACATACTCCTAGTGCAGTATCAGTTCCTAACTTTGGACATTGGTTAAGCATATGACCAGGTTGTCGGCAATGGAAACAAGATTTTTGTCTCAATCTGGAAAGTTTTTTCTCGGCACGTCGACGCATGGGCATTAGTTGTGCCTTCAACTGGTGTCTGGGTACACCTTGTTTTATTAATTTGAATTTTTCAGTTCGCAATAGAGCTGCATCTTCTCTAAGTACGCTGTAGCCATCAAATTTGTCTACGTTTGAATACGAGTCACGTTTAATTTGACTCTCTGATTTGGAAGCTTCTTCATCCGCCGGTTCATCTTCTGTTTTTGTTTGCTCCGGTTTCTCTTTCATTCGAGACCATGGTGTCGCCTCTTCCGGTAGTTTTTGGTTGGACGATTTAGAACCGTGACCTCTTGCGAATCTCGTCATTTGTAACGAATACCTTTTAACAATTAGGTATCTAGTGACTAGTGTCGAATCAAGATCTCGAATTCACGAAGCACCTAAATAAAGTTTAATATCAGATTGGTGGATTGTCACCTGTCACCAATCTAATTCGATTTTGAAGTTTGAAGATAGAAACTAGTAACTACACTTCTACTCAGCGGATATCTTCTAAGATTGTGCACGTGGTTAGAAATAGATAACATTGATAACAGTACAATGTCCAAAAACCATTTTCCTAGATTAAAAAAAAAAAAAAAAACGTTAGTTCACCACCGTCGTTAACAGAGGGCGCGTCGAGTTTCGAAACTGAAATGTATTAAATTAAATAGAAATCAATTTAATAATGAGAACAATGAGCATCAAAGGGCCATTTTATCTGGGATTATATGCAAAATAATAATAATAATAAAAAAAGTCATTCGAAACTTTGCTAAGACACTGCCCCTCCTTAATAAATTTCCAGCGAGCGCGCATGTCACGCGTTTTCTTTGTTGAAAAAAAAAAACACATTTCTCATTGAATTATATTACAATAACAATTATTATTGAATAAAAATAGATATTGTGTATAAAATAGATACCGTACGCGTTATCTACGTTTCGATTAACGGCAATTATAATAATAACTGTACAAAACGAAATATGATTTAGCTTTGCAGAATCGATTTTATAGTGAGGTGTGCCAAATCGTCTCAGTTCTCTGTGTGATATTTTTATCCGTTTTATAGTTATTAGTGCTATGGCGCCAAAACTAAAAATTAACGATGCGCGTCGTACTTTCAAAGAGAATTGGACCGAACGTTTCGTTTTGATCGAACGCAGCGGAAAGTTATTATGTTTAAATTGTAATGAAAGAATACAACGTCAGGCGACATTACAAAAACGAGCACAGGTATAATTAGGTAACGTTTGAAAACTTAACCGGTGAATTATGATAAAACGAAACGGAACGGTTTTCAACATCACTAAGTAGCCCGTAAAATATGTTCAATTTCAAAATATCCGTGACGAGTGGTCTAAACGAACAAGTTACTTGTGTAGACGCATGGTTCTTTTTAGTGTGCAGTGGGAATATACAGGAAAAATTATTAATTTTTGCAGTACGAAATAACAATTTCTAGTCGTTGTTTATTCCGTGTCACTTATTAAATGATAATTACGCAAACCTTAGATAAAAAAAAAATTATTTTTAAGATAAATTTAAAAAATTGATTATTGTGTTTTTTTGTTTCACACGGTCATCTGCGGTTTTATCGTCGTGCTCTCCGATCAATTAGTGTAGCACGTTGCCACGGATAATACAAGAATGTATAAGGACTCAATGTACGCTGCTAACAGACAATAACATATTTTATCTACCATCGCGATAACGTACGGAAGCGTAGTAATGCCAACTGAGCAAAAACAAATTCTAATTTCGAAATTTCGACTACTATTTTTCCGCATCACGGCTTTCGCTGTCGAAATTTATCGTAATTTTGAATTTTGTTTTCGAAATTATTGTAATTTCGGTATTTTGATTTTTCTCCGGGTTAATGGCTTATATTCTGAATACGGTTTCAAAAATCAAAAAAATTATCTCCGCAAGTACCAACTGGAAAACGAGAGCTTTCGGAAAAGATACCATAGCCCATACTCTTGAGTAAGTTTACTAGAAGAAAAAATGTCCACAGACCGTAAACAATAAAAAAAAAAAATCATTATTGTAAAACTAAATAGTCTTTTAATTGACAAAATACGTCGGTCCAAAATTTAGATTCCTGAATACGATTTTACTATATTAATAAGCGTATAATTGATGCGTTTGTACAGACCAAGTTGTTTCAATTTTCACTTAAGTGTTCGAAGACTTATATCTGTCCCATTGCTTGACAGATGTGTTATTTCATTGTAACTAAAACCTACGTGAAAATAATTTTCTATCAAATTATTTGAGTACATTCTGCTATTGCCATTTGCCTGTTGGCTGTTACAGATTACACGGGTCGCTGATCAGAGAATAGTAGAATTAGAAGAAGACTTCAAAAATGTGAAGAATGAGTGCGCGGCTGACCGACAAAATATGCTCAAGAGCCACGACCAAATAAATCTGCTTACAGAGATTTCGAAAACAAAAGTCGAAATTACAATTTTACTTCCTTAGTTGGCACTACTACGCTTCCGCAATAACACGGTAACGAACTGATCAAAATGTTTTGAATATTTGATCGACGTTTTTATTTTTCAAGTTTATTTCAATACTCCATGGGTTTCATATTACATAGAGTATTTCTATTTTGATCAATTGTGTAAATTTTTAATGATTAATAATAATTATGTTGTATACACAATTATAGCGGATAATTGGTTACTAACAATTACCGCGGATTAATTCGTGGTTACTATATACCTATGTTTGTTTTGCGATTTTATGCGTATTTCTTATATTTTAGATTCGGAGCGTACATACCTATATATGCAGGCTGTCCCTCGAAGATATACTCCTTGAATATTTCCGGAAATCATAAAGAAAATCAAATTATGTTTTTTTTTTTTTTTTTTTTTACATTACTAACAGGGACGATGACTACAAATATGTATATTTGAATTCATTTTTTTTTTCATTTTTCGTAAAAAAAATGGACTTTATTTTATTGTTTTCGGAAAATTTTAATATCCCTAGATTACCTTTGGAATAACCTAACCGCGTTGCGCGATAACATCGGTTTTCACACGGGTTTATAGAATTTAAAACGGCTGTTCCTTAGAAACTGTTCGTCGGATATAAATGTGTGATATATAAAAAATTTTCCAAAAATAATTAGAAAAAAAAAATGAATTCATGGGTAAATATGTGTACTCCTCATTCCTGTGGGTAATATAAAGAAAACATAATTTGATTATTTTTATTATCTCCGGGGATATTCAAGGGGTATATCTTCGTGGGACAGCCCGTATGTATATTTAATTGGAAAATTAGTTGTGAATATCTATACTGGGTTTGTTTTTTTTTTTTTTTTTTACTCGCGTAAATGTTCATTATCGGTGAAATTAAAAATTGTTTACAAGCATCTATGGAAGAAAAAAAAAATAAATAAACGTTTTGTTTGTTACCAAAAAAGCCACGGATACGTATAAAGGGGTGTCCAGACACCCGAAACACCGCCTCCCGGTCGTGCCACCGCATGCGTGTAGGTACCTTTTTCTATGCATACTGAGTATGTACACTTCGAATGTCTACGACTCGTTGGAAACTATAAAATTGCGGACGCGAGCGTAATGATTGGCCTGCGTATGCATTGCGACCCGTGTGTTTGCGCGGCCGCGTGGAATGTTGGCGAAGGGGAGTGAAAATTGAGAAGAAGAAAAAAATCGGCGAAAATACTTTGAGCGCGCAACTGGTCCGCGGCCAAAGAGGTTGCAGCTCGCCGTTTCGCCGCCGCGCCGCAACGTTAATAAATATTATAACCTCCGTGGCGGCCGCGATTTTCTCGCCAGACGCGAACTCTCCGCCGCCTTCCAATCCGCGGCCCCGCGCACACGCCCGCCGCACGGGTGTACAATATTATGATATTAACGTTGTTACGTGCGCTAACGGGCGGGCATCGCGTCGCGATGGTCGTGGCCACGCCGCCGAGCCGGTTTATACAGGGCGATCGATCTGCCGCGAGCCGCCCGTTATCTCGGAAAGTATTAAATTTGTTCGCGATCCGTTTCGTCGAACGCGTATGAAACGAGCAGCTCTGCGATTTCACATTTGTGCCGTTAGTTTCCGGCGCTTTGCATTTCCGAGGGTAAAAACCACTCTTTACCACTTTTGGTCGTCGAAACGACGGCCCGCGTTGAAAATCCCGTAAACGGACGGAGCTCTAGTTAAAATACATATTGAGACACGGGACAGAGAGCAGTGGAGCGCCATTTCTATTATGGCGGCACGGCACGCGGCGTTCCGCTATTCTTTCCCCCGACCCAAATTTAAAAGCGGAACGTCTCGTCGGCGGATCGACGGAAAATGAGGTTTTACCCCCCCCCCCTCCTCTCCCCCCCCCGAAAAATGAGGCCGGCCTAAAGAGTAACACCGCGAATGAAATCGCAGTCGTTTTTGTACAGCTGCTATACGTTTCTTAAACGTTCGGTAAAACAAATCCCGAAAAAAGTCGAATACTTTCCGACACAACGGGCGTCTTGCGACAGATTGATCGCACTGTATGTGCGTACACAAGTACCGTACCGTACGGGAGAGGGAACGGCGACGGGATGGTCCGCTCCTCCGCGGCGTAAACAAACACATTGTCGTACATTTGTACCAACAGGTACGGCATGAAACGCCGGGTGATATTGTGCTTTCGGCACAGCCCACGGCGATTTGTCCACTCTACGATGTCGGGTGTACACGGACGTGTTTCGATTGAATTCGACTTTCGCACGTGTTGTCGTAAGTGTAATTTTCTTCCACTTCTGTCGACAATTCCTGGGCACGTTACAGATGGTACTACCTTCCGGGCTCGGCTCCAGGGGGTGGAGGGCATTGGGGCCACGACTCCCCCACCAAAGCTTTCCAAAAATTCGAATTTTTACGTATTGTTCTTCTTGTACCCGCTCGCGTTTTTTGAAATGAGAATACTATCGATTTCCATGGACACAGTATAACGCGTAACAGGCGCGCGTTTATGTAACGGTCGTTTAAAATCGATACCGGAGGAGACGTTATCGTGTGTAACAACGTCCGCATAAAAACAACCGAAATGGAATATTTTTCTCGAAATTTCCGTCGATAATCGTTGACGTGGACCGTTCTGTATGTTGTACCGCACACGTCGCCGCGGCGGCGGTATACGTGCGCGCACAGTTGGCGTTTCTCTTGGTGTTCTGCATCGCCCCGGTCTCCGATTGAGTGAGAATATACACAAGTGGGCATACAATATTATAACATTCGGGACCCGCGCGCAGATAAAATAAATAGAAACCACTGTAAGCTAACTTGTAAATTTGTCTACGCCTGGGCCCCGATCCGTTTGTAAACAAATAATATCGATTTTGATTTGAATGAATTTAATTTAATTTAAAAAAAAAAAACATTTTTTTTTTTTTTTTTTACAATAAATTTAACCGCACATCAGGTTTTCCGGCTACGTCCGTGTGCGCATTCGCGCATAAAACAAAATATACATTGGCAATTATAATACTATAATATAATCTAAAGTTTGTATTATTCGATGGGTTTCAAAAGTAGTTCCGGAGCAACTCTCAAACGATCGGTACACACTTAGTCAGTGGCGTAGACACCGCAGGGACGACGTAGGCGTTCGCCTCGGGTGGCACAATTCTTTTTTTTGGGGAGGTGGGGGGCTTACGTGTGCGTGATACGGACTCTGGCTATTGTCAAGTGTATTTGGTAGACAAATTGAACAAACACGAGCTCGCTCGTGAACCAGGCCTATTAGCTATAGTGTTGTGCACGCCAATTTAATTGATCACGATTCGTGTACCATGGGTAATCTGCAGTGACATGCCGATACTAAATCGTAACTACTAAACAATTACCATTTCGAACTATTTCGTATTTTCATACAAATTAGTTACATATAACCAAAAAAGTACTCATTGTATGTATGATTCGAATGTGCATCTATTTGGTTTAATATTAATATGGAATTTTTAATGTGATAAAGTGTGGTTGGGTTCATCTTTTTCAGAGAGAAAAAAAAAACCACAGCGCTGTTTTGGAAACAAAGAGTATAATTTCTGTTTTCCGTTGTAGAGGCGAACAGAAGAATATTATGCCTCTGCAGGACATTTATTTAATGTGTCCGCCACTGTATATATTTTAATATCTCCTATGTTTATGCGCGTGTGTTTTGTAAACCATGCAAAACCCATGTGTCCTAAAAACATAATACGCAATTTTTTGCGTTCGTATTTTGCACCACTCCCCCTCCCCCTCTCCGATGTATATTCGGAATTATACCCGGATCACAATATTATTATAATAATAATAGTGGTATTATATGCGATAAAATACGATCGTTGAAAATAATTATGTTTCACGAATGGCTTGTGTAGAACGCACATCGGTTTTGCTTTAGGCCACATAATACAGGGTGATTTTTTTTATCATGAACCAGCAATTATCTCAGAGGATTTTAACTGAATTTGATTTCTGGTTTTACTAACCGTCATAGAATTATTTCATAATCAAAAGTATGTACTTATTCAAGGTATATCGATAAGGGGTAAAAAATTAAAAATGATTTTAAAATAAAGCTTAAACGATTCCATATTGATTAGAAAAAACAGAAATCAAATTTACATTAAATCCTCTAGGATGATTGCTGGTTCATGATAAAAAAATCACCCTGTATATTTACGCAATACTGTAAGCGAAGAATTGTTTTATTATTAAACGATTTTCCAATCGCCGCCGCCACGCGCGTGGTGTGTTCGATCGCCACGGCAATATTTCATTCCGTCGAATAAAAAACATGTCTCATCCTTTTTGTAGTACTTTTACGCGCAGTATGAAAACGCAATTATAGATCCGGTACTGGTATTATGTACTACGATCATGATACGACTCTCGCGGTTTTTCGATTTCGTATAAATATTTTAATGTACACAATTACGATAAACTATTAATATTTATACGTGTAATGATTTTGAAAAAAAAAAAAATCAATTGCGTTCAAGCTATAATATGTATGTACCAATCTACACGTAAATATAATATATTACGTATAATGCCAATAATGACAATTGTATACTTTATTGGATTATAAAAATCCCGAATAGTCCGAATAAATGGGCTTTAAGAAGACGCTATCATCACTCCCGCATCATCTCAGAGACGACCAGTGGCTTGCTCAGCATTTTTCGAATGGGCAGGATATGGAGAGAGGGAGAAATCTGTGTGTAACAAGTCATACATAAGTATAACATGGTTAAACATATTTTCAAGTAGGTACAACGTTCGGTACCGACTCCTTCAAACGTATCTATAATCTGTATGTCTATACGCATCAAAGTGCTGGACTTTCAGCACCTAAAATGAACAAAAAAACAATTGAAGAAACGTTTAAAAACTTCATTAGGTATTACCCTAAAATAACCATTTAAAAAGCAAAATAAAATGTTAACACAAAAAGTATTTTTTTAAATTATCGAAATAAGCAAATTAAAGTACTTTCAGTACATTCAAATTTCATATTTGAACTATTGAATCTTATTAAAATTAAACTAGCTGTTTTTTTCTCCCGTTCCCAACGATGGCCGGCACGATAAATAGATGAATAAATCTAATGAAATAAGAGTTGGATAATAGATTACAAAAGTGAAATTATTTAAAAATCACAGGGGAAAAAATCTGGTTTTTGTCATTGGTTTACGTAATCGCAAAGCAGAAAATGTAAAAAAAAGTAAGAAAAATTAGTAAAAACATTTTATTATTTTAAACTATCGAACTGAGCAAAAATAAATTGTAAAATACAATATTACTTTGTGATGTACTTAATACTGTCCCAAAACACCACTAAAAATGACAATATTAAAATAAATGAATTATTACCAAAAAAATACCAAGAGGATGTTCAACTCCCCATGGCTTTGAACCTTCAAACTCAAATTTCAACTCAAACGCCACAATTTATGTTCTACGTAACGTTAAAATTTTGGTATGCCGCCCGTTAAAGATAAACCGAGTCTGCAGTGAATCCGGGCGTGGCGCCGTGGCGTACTCGTAACGGTTTTTGTTAACCTTACTTAAAAAAAAAAAAAATTATTATTATTAATTTACATTACACCGTTTATGCGTTAACCAAATTTCCACCTAACGAATAATATTATAATAAATCAATTGAAATAACCCCGCATGCGAGAATATCGCTCGTGTGCTCTTTATCGTTGATGCATACATGGACAATCAAAAGTATAATAATAATTTACCACTGACTAGGTAGGTACCTATTATTTTTTTTTTTTTTATCCTTTAGAGTGCCCCCTACACTGCGATGATATTATTGATCCTAAATGTAAAGAATATCGTGAATTACAATCCTGTCCGTGTAATAATTTATATAAAACAATGGTCATATTATATAGTATCTATTACAATAATAATATTATTATTAATTACTATACGGCTATACATCCTACACTATAAAGTCCCCGAGAAAGACAATCGTGACATATAATATTGTCATTATGTTTTTCGATACATCCGCTTTAAATTTATTTTTTTTTTGGATACTCATCAGTCATCATCGCAT